GGAATTTTTTAGTCTATACCATATTTTTGAAATGACATTCCATGATGTTAAGCTTTAGTCCCAAATCCTTTTATCCAGAATACTTATCCATATTAAAAAGTAACTGTAATACATAGGAGAATAATTATGGCTTACCAACACAGGCCACAGACAGAGCTTCCAACAGTGTCTAAGAAAAAGAAATTGAAATTACATAAATGCATGTGAAATTTATACTGTCATGTACATGGTTCTAATTTCTAGTTCAATGTGATTCCATATGTATGATCTCATTTTAGCTTCAGAGCAGCCTTTACAAGGTATATGGGACAGATAATAAGCCCATCATATAAAAATGAGACCTCAATATATTGAGTGAGAATATTTAGATTTGAATTGTGATCCCATCACTCCTTAAACTCTAACTAGATATTTCATATCTGTAAGAGGAAAATTATAGAAATAGTACCAAAAATTCTATTTTCTCACTTTGTGTAATGTAAATAAAAATGAAATTGCAAATAATGTGCACATTTATAAAAACATAATTATCTCACTTAAACATAGGAATATTAAACATTTATATTAAATTACTAGTTAATTTAATACTAAATATACAGGTAGCACTTTGGTGTGGCAATCTTAAAACTTTCTCACAATATTATCTCTTTCTTCCCTAGTAACAGAATTTTTACCTGGACACACATTTTACTTGCTTTTATTAAACATTCTATTTTCAGTATCCCTTACAGCTAAATCTGGCCAGGACTATATTCCAGCCAACAGAATGTGAGTAGAGACCTGTACAACTTCTAAAAGTAAAGAGGCTTCCTCCCTTTTCTCAAATAACTAGGTGGAATATGGATATGATAGTGAACATCTTATACCATATGACACTTTAGGAATATCTGAACCTTAGCAGATACCTGGCCCTCTGACAACTCCACTAAACAGTCACTCATATTTTTTACATGAAAGAGAAATAAACCTTGTTTTAAACCATATCACAAGTAGCTCTAGTTTCCTTTCTCTTAACTATATATCTTTACTTTTTTTATATGCTTACTCTACCATAGATTTGTCTCAGTCATCTGAGAGACCATACCATAAAAGCAAAGTCAGCAGGATCAGTAGTGGTTTATAATCGTACACAGAAACACTCCCTATTAACCTTCCCTACCTAAAATCAAGAAATCATTAGGACCAGAGCAAAAATGCTATTAGAAACTGTACATGGATGTGGAGTCAATGAAGTCACTGCCACATCCTATATAATAAAGAGGTAATATGCAAATTGACCATCACTCCAACACAAGATGGCCACCCCCATGTGGTCAAAGATGGCCAGCAGGGGAGGGCAGTTAGGGATGACTAGGTCAGCAGGGGATGGCAGTTAGGGGCAATAGGGCTGGCAGGGGAGCAGTTAGGCATCAATCAGGCTGGCAGGGGAGTGGTTAGGGGTTGATCAGGCTGGCAGGGGTTAGGGGCAATCAGGCAGGGAGGCGAGCGGTTGGGAACCAGCAGTCCCGGATTGTGAGAGGGATGTCTGACTGCCCGTGTAGGCCTGATCCCACCAGACATCCCTCGAGGGGTCCCAGACTGGAGAGGGTGCAGGCTGGGCTGTGGGATAACCTTTCCTATAATAAATTTTCAAAGTCGTGAGCTTTTCTTTCATAATATTAACAAAAAGGTGCTATCAGAATTCATAAAACTTTCTTAAAGGCAGTTTAATCTGATAAATAGCATTTTCAATCTTATTTGACTATAAATATTCTTAATAGAAGTTTGGAAGATTTTGATGTACATTTTTAAGTCAGAACTCAAATCACACGGGATATAAAAATGGGAAAAGTAATTTTTAAAATATATAACTTGAGGCCTTACCAACTCATTCTGGTCAGATTCTAAGATTGAGTTTTTATAGGAAGTAGTTTGAGTTTTCATTTTCACAAATATTTGAAACAAATGTGACTTAAACTTCGTTCCCCCAACAATGATTTTGAAACAAGTTATTTAGTAAAGCACATCAATTGAACAAAGTGGTCCTTTAAAAGGACCAGAGTCATTAGACAAAAATACACCGAGGAATTAATCATAAAGATTTCAATTTAAGGCCTATGATATTAAGGCCAAAATGTAATTTTTTACCAAATCAAAGCATAGAATATTAGGAGTAGAAAGTATCAAAGGGATAATCTACTTTAATATTTTCATTTTACACATGAGAAAACTTAGGTACAGAAAGTACCTAAATGCTCTGCCATATGTCACATAACCAGATAGTGGCAAAGCCAGGTCACGTGATTCCAATTCATTACTTTTTCCACTATATCATAATATTGACAGAAAAACTTTGAAACTGACAAAAGTTCAAAAATTTTTACAGACTAGGAGATTATAAATTCTGTTAGTTTACATATATGCATTCAATTAAGTAAGTAAATTTAAAACTCAGTAATAAATGTTAAAGGGACAGAGATTGTCAAAATACTCACAAATCCAAAAAGCAGGTACAGGTTAAGGGGATGCTTATGTCTATTTAGAATCAATGCAAAAATTGAACCCAAAGATCCAATGGCAAACACCAAAATTAAGGCAGGACTGAAAGACAAAATTAAAAGCAGTTTAAAGTTAAAAAAAAAAAACAGCATAAATACTATTACAAAATATAATAAAATGTGTCTATTTTATGTGTTTGTGAAAGTACAAAAAACAATCTGAAGGATCCACACCAACTTGTCAGAAGAAATTATTTTTCCATCTGGGAAATCTGAGGAGTATGAGATGGAAAGGATTAACAGGACAAAGAAAAGAGCTTACAATGCAAGGGGAAGACTTTTCCTTTTTACTTCATGAACATATCATATTTGAATAAATTTTGCAATTGCTTTTTTAACCAAAATACAAAGAAAAGCTATTAAATACTAAACAAATTTTTTAAATCTTTAAACAAAAATTTTAAATATGTTTTTATTGATTTCAGAGAGGAAGGGAGAGGAAGCAAGAGATAGAAACATCAATCATGAAAGAGAATCCCTGATCGGCTGTCTCCTGCAAGCCCCACTGGGGAATCAAGCCTTACAACCCAGGCATGTGCCCTGGCTGGAAATCAAAACGACCTCCTGGTTCATAGGTCGAAGCTCAACCACTGAGCCACATCGGCTGAGCAATAAACAAATTTTATACCTAACTACTTTTTTAGGTATTTACTACATAGCTGTAATTTAAAGATCTTTACCCCAATTGCAAACTAATAGTTCAAGACTTCCCTTCTGTAGGGGAAGGGAGGATAGAAATTATCTACTCTTAAGAAAATATTCATTCCTTATTTTTCCTTTCCTTTAATATAAAGATTCTATATTACTTTTAGCCATAAAAATAATTATTCTGGAGGTCAGGTCTTAAACAAATTTGGGACAAATCATATGGAGTGCCTTTGAAAACTTTTCAGTGAAATTATCCTAGGCCTGATCCAATACTAAGATGAATTAAAAACACATTAGTTAAATACCTTTATTTTTCAAGTGCGCTATTAGGCTTTGGGGACAAGGCATAAGTCTAATAAAAGAAAAAATTAAGACTAAAAACTGTATACAGTAAAAATTCTTAATACAATTCCAGGAAATAAGGGGAGTTTAAACCTATAAAACTGTAAACTAAAAAGTTGAGAGGTAAATACCATGTTATAGAATATTTATCAAAACAAAACAAATGTTATTTACAAGAGTTAATAAACACTTTTACATTCAAACATAAAAAGAGAATAGAAAATAAAGAACTTTGCTTATTCCCTTTTGATCATAAGCAGTGGCTGAAAGTGATTTAGAATCGTCTTACCTTTCATGTACAAATGTCCGTATAGACTCGAAGTATAAAAAAAATGCAGATGTCACTGTAGTTAAGAGAACTTGCAGAGAAAGGATGGTGTAGACTTTTCTTAGAAAGGCTAAAAAAGAAAAAAAAATCATACATAACTATTTTCTTAAGCATTTTGTCATAGAACAGCAAGATCAAATGTCTTATTAAATTTGTATATGTATTTCTTAAGTATTAATCCAAATAATGTTATCTGTAACTGAAACTTAAAGAAAATGCTTCCAAAGGGGAAAAAATTGTTAAGTGGTAACTGTCTTCCAAGAAGTATCAAATTAATGGGCCAGAATGTAAATGTTTTTCCATCAATATAAAAAGAAAGCATTGAATGCATATTTGTAAATAGCAGTGGTACAACAAAAGATTAAAAAACAGAACACTTTAAAAGAATGATTCTATCTTGAAACTGAAATGCAGGAACAGAAAGCATGTGTTTACATATAAATTTAAGAAGAAATCTTAATTTTCAAGCAGTACAAATGTTTCCCTAAAATGAACTTCCCCTTAAAAGGCAAACAATATATAAACGTAACTTTCACTCACCCATTTTTATTTCTCACTTATAGTACCTCTGCCTCTAGTTTTTATACAATAGAAATTCTTACTTTCAGAATATTTTATCAACATCCATAAATTAACTCCAAGGCCTAAAGATTTAAAAATACCTACTCTTCTGATATACGGATAATATAAGTAATACACTGAACACCCGACTCACCACCAGCTTCACAAATAAAACATTAACAACAGTTCCCACCTCCTCTATGTAAACATCTATAATAATAAAAGCATAATATGCTAATTAGGCTGGATGTCCTTCCAGAGCTCCAGCGATTCTCAACCTGTGGGTCGCGACCCCTTTGGCAGGTGAACAATCCTTTCACAGGGGTCGCCTAAGACCATCCTGCAAATCAGATATTTACATTACAACTCATAACAGTAGCAACATTACAGTTATGAAGTAGCAATGAAAATAATTTTATGGTTGGGGCACAACATGAGGAACTGTATTTAAAGGGCCAGAAGGTTGAGAACCACTGTTTCAGACGAAGCCAGGGCTGGGAGAGAAGCCTGGGTCCCAGGTCCCAGAGGGAAGCCGGTGCTGGCAGGCAGGGGAAGGAAGGCCTACTCTTGCACGAATTTCATGCTTCAGGCCTCTAGTACTGATAATAACATCCCTCATCCCCTTAGCTAACTGCTAGTCACCTTTCAAGATTCAGCCTTTCTCATTTCCCCAGTCTGAATTAAATGTTCTTCCTCATGCTCCCAGTGGACCCTAACCATACTTCTAATCACATTTTTTTTTAATTTTTTTTTATCCTCACCCAAGGATATGTTTTCATTGATTTCAGAGAGAGAGAGAGAAGGGGAGAGAAACATCGATTGGAGGATAATTAATATCAATCAAATTTAAAATATACATATTCTTTTGACCCATTAATTTCACTTCTAAAAATTTATCCTAGAGCAACACTTGCAGAAATTTACAGAGTTATGGAAAGATGTTCCCTAAAGCACTAGTTGAAGGAATACAAAAAAATAACCTAAATATCTATCAAGAGGGTATGATTAAATTAATTGTGGTACACACATACTAGGTAAGATCACTGCCATTAAAAGGCTATTGTGTACTGCGATTTTTCTAAAATATATATTTTGTTATTTTAGAGAGAGAAAGGGAGAGGGAGAAACATCGATGAGAGAACCATTGATCAGCTGCCTCTTGATGCCCCTATTGGGATTGAGCCCACACCTGGGCATGTGCCCTGACTGGGAATTAAACTGGAACGATGCTCAACCAACTGAGACACACTGTACTGCTATTTTTACATGTAAAAGATATTAAGTGAAAATACAAAATTGCAGGAAAGTATATATAATCCCATAAATTATAACATTCTCCTGAGTCTATAAAATAGTATGTGTTAGTGTTTCAAAAATATACATATAGCATATTGCTAAAATAGACTAGTTTAATAGGCTATAATATATTTCATATATAACTGACTATATAAACTTAATTGGCACTGTAAAAGTGCTCAAGGTAGAGACTACTCAAAAATTCATTCTCCCATAATTTTTCTGTAGCTTCATGATTTGTTGTTTTCCAACAAGAAGCCTTGACATTTTATATTTATAATATAACAAAATTATTTTCCAGAAAATGTGCACATCACAGTCAGCTTAATTTTGCTTTAAAAAAACAAGTGGAACGTTTCTTTTTTACTTATTAATTGGTAAAGGACCAGAGACAGCTGAGAACCACTTTTTAATACAAATGTAGTCAGCTCAGTTATCAGCCTAATTACCAGGGCTCCTAAGTAAAATGCTCCAGCATAATTTAAATATTTGTGAATGAGTAAATGTTCATTGAGTTTTGGGTTATTTACATCAGTATTGACATAAGACATACAGAAATAAATATAAGACTAATTTTTCTTTAAAAACAGTTTAGGTATGCAGAGAGGTAGAAATTATGAAATCTGGTTTAGGGATTTATGAAATCTGGTTTCTAGTCCCAGAGCTTCACTGCAAAGAACCATGCTATTTTATTTATATGCTTTTATTTATTTTAGAAAGAGGAAAGGAGGGACACAGAGAGAAACATCAATGGTGAGAGAGAATCATCTATCAGCTGCCTCCTGCACTCCCACTCCCCCTACTGGGGATCCAGTCTGCAACCCAGGTATGTGCCCTGACCAGGAATCGAACTGTAACTTCCTGGTTCATGGGTTGACACTCAACCACTAAGCCATGCAGCCAGGTAAGAACTATGTTATTTTAGACAAGTATTTTTAAACTTAGTTTTCTGTAAATCATGGGTGTATATTATTTCAGGATTGTAATTCCAGGGAAAATGACAATATTGTTATCACAAAAATTCTGAGCACAACTTTGTGGCATTCAGTTTCAGGGGTTGGTGGAAAGGAGGGATAAATGGGGAGAGCATGGAGGATTTTTAAGATAGTGAAACTATTCTATATGATACTGTAAAGGTAGGTGTAAGTCATTATACATTTATCAAAACCCAAAGAATGTACAACACCTAGAATGAACCCTAATGTAAATTATGGGCTCTGGGTAATAATGATGTGTCAGTGTAGGTTCATGGATTCTAACAAATGCACCACTCTGGTACAGGATGTTGATAATGGGGGAGGCTTGGAGTGTGTCTGGGCAAGGGTATATGGGAACTCTCTGTAATAATGCGGATTTCAATAGATGGAGTTACACATATGTTGATATATATGCGATTTGATATGTATGCTATTTTGTTGTATTGACAGCAAGCTTCAAAACTTCATATGTCAAACTTGCTGAAGGTGTTAACATCATAGATATTTTTACGCTTAAAAAATTTGAATTTCATGCCAAAAAAAGAGCATTTGCAGGAAGTTTTAATTCATTACTTTATTTTGAAGAAAAAGAT